ACTTTACTAATGTTTTCAAAATAATTATTTTAGGATTTCTTTTGCCAAACTGTAACCTGGAATATTTATGATGAGAAAATTCCGAAATGTAAACTTAAAGAGGGAAAAATTAGCCAAAGCTTTGGCAGCAGACTCACGAACCATTGACCCCAATCATTCCCTACACTTGTTCACTTCACCGCCTTGCGACCTCGGCAAAAATGTCGTTCCCTCTTTGGAAAATACCAAAAAGTTGTTACAAAAAAAAAAAGAAAAGGAAAAACGGAAAGGCAAACAAAATGAGAGAGAAAAGTTCTGTGGCAACATTTCCCATTCAACTTCATTCGTTTGAAACCGAACAATTCCAAGGCCTTTTACAGCCACTTGTTGTGGCGCTGGTTGGGTGAAATGGGGTTTAAAGCTGAGAGTAGTTGGGGGTGGGAGGGACAGGGTCTCTAGCCCCAGAAACACATGTACACCACGCCCGCCTTTTTTCAAGTAACAAGTATGTCAAGCCAAATAAACTCTGCAGATAAGAAAAGTCAAACAAAAAAATTATACGAAAATAAATTACATTTTAACCGAAAATACTGGTTCACAAAATATTTTCCTCCCTCCTCTCTCACTCAACAGAAAGGGAAGAAAATTACGAGGACATGGATTACCATAACAGGCCTACCTACCCCGCTGGAAAACTGATTGTGGAAAAACTCAAGCACAAATAACAACAACAACAACAACAAACGAAAAACTGTTGAAAAGTTTTTAAGTGCAGAATTTATAGCTACCGATTTGTTGTCTGGCCCTGGTCCTGCCGCTTTTGGTTTTTGGTTTTGGTTTTGGTTTCTGGTCTTTGGTCCAACCCCACGATCCACTTGCACTTAGTGCTTGAGCAAAATCAATATGGCCTGGGGAAAAGCGCATAATGAGTGTGCCGCCGTGTATGTGACTGCATTTTAGAAAATATGAAAAGTCGACGAAAGTTTATGGCAAATGAGTAATGAGTGGCTGAGCCCGGTTGACTCTGCCTCCTCCATAACGCTCGCCCACTCTTTGCATTAAACCAAAAACCAAGCCAAAACCAAACGCCCAAGTTTGTGGACTGGCCAAACTGCTGCCTTTAACAAGGATTTTCACATTGCAATTCAATTATGGGTTAATGTCTGACAATCAAAATTCTAAAGGTAATCATTTTAATTATCCCAACCACCGTAAGATAATCTATATAATTTATCAAATATTACAACTGCTGTATCAGACAAAACATCAAATGATATTCAATTACAGAAAATTGATATTTACTCTTCATGGAAACACCAATATGAAATTCAAGCTCAACATCAGGCACTCGACTATTTGTGATACAAAATAATTTGTGTGTGTGGAGAGCTACTTGACATTTTCCAAGCTGCAATTGCTGATTCTGTTTTTTTTTAATTAGTTGTTGTTTGTTCTGTAAAGTTTGTGAAGCACTTGAAAAACTTTTTTCGCTTGACATTTAAATGTGTATATTGACGAAGCTGCATATATACATATATCTGTTTGTATATGTGTAAAAGTACGAATGTATGCTTTGGTCGTGTGAATTAATTAATTAAATATGAGATGGGCGTGGCGTAATTGGCAGGCCTGGCTTCGAGCTCAGTATTTACTCCGATCAGCTTAATTCAATTTGCGTTCAGTCAAGAGCCAAACCGGTAAAAATCCACGACTTCATATCAACGCTAACTTAACTTAATTAATTTAAATATGATTGACGATGTCATGTACACCCACACACACACACAGATAAACACTCACAGTTACCGTTAAAACCACGGCAAATAAACTTTAAAAATATAATGTGTGTTTTATGGGAGGATTGATAAGTTTCAAAGCTCTGATTGATGTGAGATTGCTGAGCAATAATTGTTAGAAAAATATAATAAAAAGGTAGACTAATTTTAAGCCTTTGAATAGACACTTTTCCTCCTAATGATTCTATCGAGTCAGCAAGACTTAGATTTTCTGCTTACTAGCTTAAACTTTTTAAGCCACCCCAATACTGACGCAATCAGGGGCAAAGTTGACACAGTTTCTCCCTTTATCTGCCACTCAGCCAGACGGGCATAAATTATTATTATATTATGCAGAATGAAAAAAAGAGGGAAAAACCTAAGAAATCAAAAAGTGACGTTGAGGCTTCGCCCGAGGTTGGATTTTTATACGACTAAGTCCGCTGTCTGGGGACTTTTGAAGGACCCCCCACGTTGATCGAAATCGAGGAGTTTTCTTTTTGGGTGGTGGGCTTGGATGTAATACTCGTGAACCTGTTCCCTTCGAAGGATGCAAGAGTGATGGGAGGTCGAGAGTTAAAAATTGCTGATTACATTTGAATCCCCCTCATAACTGTCAGAAAGTAACTGGTCTACAGACTGGTCTGCTCCTGGCCTGCTAACGGCAACGGGCCAACGTGGCGTATGTGTAATGGGTAAGAGAACTCGTCCGGGAACGAGTTGGTTGGCTGGCTGTCATTATGTCATAAACACATGAGAATGCGAGATGTTTATACTTAAAAAGCGTTCATAATACGGCTGGCTGTCAGTTTACCTGGCTAGAGGCCACCGGTCGTAGAATCTGCAATCAGATACGGTGCGATGCGATGGATACTGCCACCTGTCCTGAAGTTGGATGCTTTTGTTTGCCATGCCACAAGACTACGCCACCAGCGGCCACGCCCCGTTTGATTTTCATCTCTGATTAAATTTAAATACGGCCCCGTTAATTGCTTCACTGTAGTCGAGTTTTTATACATTTTGGCTAAGTGAAACTGAAAGAATTTCGCGCGGCACGTGGAAAAGAACAAGTACTGAATACGTAGATGGGGATTAAAGCTCTTTTGTGGGGGAAGAAGTATTCATTTTTTAAGAGTTCATTAAACTCATTTTAAACAGAACACCGTAATCAGAAAATTTTATTCAAAGAATTTCCATTGCTTAAATTTCTTTTTTAAAAATTCTTATAGTAATATTTTAACCTTTAAGTCTTAGTAAGTATTGATCAAATATTTTATTTAGTTTTAACACCTTTCTAAATATATCTTCGATTATTCCCTAAAATTAATTTCAGTCGCCTTATTGTAACCACTATATATGCACCCAGAAAGCCATGAATTTTATGGTTGGATCTCATTCCATGTGGCAGCCACCTGGCTGAGTGCCCCAGACTGCTGCGGTTGCCAATATTTCGCAAAACGCTGTAATTAAAATTGTTATCTTTTGAAATTGAAGCGCACACACATATGGAGCAAGTGTCGGTGTGTAACGGAAATCCATGCAGGACGTCAGCGATTTGTGCTATGCCACACGGCTGGCATATAATTTTACACCTGTCTCGATGACTAGGATGCTTGATGGCCAGTCAGGATGCCGGGGTCATAACTTCCAAATAACCTGTACCACCATCCTCAACCCCTCTTCGTGGGCTATCAACTTGGATTAAACGATGTTGCTGCTGTCTATACATAACGATGCAAGGGTCAATTGCCGGGGCAAAATGTGAGTAATTTTTGGTATTTTTCATAGTTGGGTGTTATTTGGGGCTATGATATAGGAAGTCTGGTGAGTGAAGTTGTTTGGGTGGTTCATAAAAGGAACGCCAAAGAGTGCACCCATGGCATTATTGTTTTACAAAAATATTAAATATATTTTTCCTGTAAAACTGACAATGGTTACGAGAGATTTCCATAAAAATAATACTATCTACATTGAGTAAATAAACGTGATATTCGAAAATAAAAAATATTTATTACAATTCATATTTACAAACATAAAACAGTAGTTTGAAGCTCTCCCATTGAAACGCTATTAAATCAGCAACCCACTTTGCCACTTACATTACATAATAGTTCACTTTTGTTTTCATGACATGGCAGTAGACTTTTATTGTCCCATTACAAATGTGAATATCAATTTAATAAAGCGTAGCTTACATGTACAATGAACTCCATTACATTGTTGTGATTTTAATGGCAGCATAAATATAATCTCAAAGTCAGACTTTAATATTTAGTGTCTCGCCTGTTGAATCCTTTTATATTGTTTTATGTCAAGCGATGTCAATCTGTGCTGTGGAACCCAACTTGGTAATCCTTACATGCCACGACATGGCAGCAACAGGAGGAGCAGGAGACGGGTTGTCTATAACTTGCTCATTTATTAAGTGATAATAGACTTGGCTCCTGTTCACGACCGAAACAAGCAACCAACACACACGCACACACACACACACACAAGCAATAAGGCGACAGCCCCAAAATATGCAAAGAATTGTGCACTAAGTGGGAGTTGACAAAGTTGGCCACTCGGGCATATGGTGGCCACAACAATTTCATAAGAAATTCGTGTAAGTCTGTTGACGTCCCAACATATTACTCACTAGATACTTGGGCACACAACTCCATGAGCTTATCCTCGGTCGTTTAAGTTTTGGGTTTGGCATATGTAAAACTTTTGGCAAACATGACAACACACACACACACATCCGAAACCGAATAATATCGCATGCCATAAATTACACTTAAGTATTTAACAGCTTTATAGAAAACAACCAGTGGTTACGCCCATCTAAAAAACATAGATCGAGCCACGGTAATAAAATACCAACGAAGACAGAATGGGCGGCGGCAACACGAATTGCTTTTCAGGCCAAGACCAAGAGCATGTTCGTATTTGCATGGCTCTCTGTCGCAGTCTTATCCCTATTCTAGTATCTAAATACATTTTTCATCAAAATTCCAGTCTAGCCTGATTGAGGGGGAGGGAAAGGAGCGCCTTGGGTGCGGTTAGTCTAGCCAAAATCGTGATGACAGTGAACCAAATTGTAAAGCAACAGGGCGGGGTTCTTGAATTACTTTCAAGAGTTCTTTTAAAGGGATTTTTGTTTCAGATTTTCTACAAGAAAAGAGATTATATTCCCCCCTTTTGTTAAGAGATATCGTTCTTATTAAATTACTTTTTAACTGTTTATAAAAACTCATAAAATTGCAATCAATCACTTGAAATTCTTTCGATTTATTTAATTTATTATTTACAACTCAGCAGTGGCCAGGTCGATCCAGCTCTTAAGGGCCGCGACATCGGCATAGACTCCGGGGTAGCCAGTCCAGGCACACCCACTGCCCCAGGAAACAACGCCCACTTGCTTGCCGTTGGCCACCAAAGGACCGCCGGAGTCACCCTGGCAGGCATCCTTCTTCTCGCCGGTGGCACAGACCATGGTATCTTTGATCGAGTCACTGCCGTATGAATAGTTATCAGAGGCACAGTCAGTTTTGTGCAGCAGTTGCACGCCGACCTGGAGAAGGGTGTCGGGGGAGGAGCAGAAAAGGAAGCAGGTGGTTCCCCAGCCGGAGACAACGGCATCGGTTCCGGAAACGGGTTCACTATCGGCCAATTCGATGGTACGGATCTTGGAGGTCTGGCGAACGGGAGTGCTCAACTTCATGATGGCCACATCGTTAATCAGCAGCTTGCTGTTGTAACCCTCATGGTACTTGAAGGCCCTCACAGTAACCACTTCGCCACCGGAGCTCCTGGACGAGGAACCCACACGCACCTGCAGCTCGCTGGCGGCATAGGATTGCATGCAGTGAGCAGCGGTCAGGACGGTATCCGCAGCGATCAAACTGCCACCGCAGAAGTGGGAGCCCTTAGTGGTCTGGATGGAAACCTGGTAGGGGAAATTTTCGATGTCAGCACTCTCGCCGTTGACAATCCTTCCGAAGGGAAAGTCAATGTCCGGATGACCTTGGCAGGAGGCCACCAAGGCGACCAGCGCCACCACACTCAATAGAAAACGATTCATTTTCACAACGATCACTAAACTGAAATCCATTGAAGACCTCGTCTTTTATAGTGGGTTTGAGTAAACCCTAGACCTTATCGGCTGAGCTTTCGACTGGATGGCTTCCAAGTTGTAAATCACAGACTCTCTATCAGGAGTCTAGCTCCCTGACGCTGCTCCGATGTCTGATGATTAGGGGTTATAGCTATCGGCAATAAACGCGTGCCAATCCAAGGCATTATCTGCAGATAGTAAATCTAAACGAGTGCTTAGAGATGGGAAACTATAAAATTTGTTCGCTGATCTGATATTGATCTGGCTATTTCTGGAGTACTTGACTTTGGGTAATAGGACAAGAAATAGAAGGTAATTATTATTTTTAAGATTTTATATAATTACCTTTCACTTAAAATAGAACTGGGAGCTATGGATGCGACTTAAGCATAAATGAGAAACCCAAATTAAGGAGTCCCTTTATAGACAATAGATACGTGAATAATATTTTGAAGTATATTTTCCTTACATTCGTCATTTAACTTAAACAACAGGCAAACCAAACTGCCTTAGTTTCTACCCCTTTGCGAGGTCATAAACCAATTATGACAAATAAACTAAGCTTAGTTAACCGCTAACCTAGGACCCCATGTGATTCGGTTATCTTAACTCGATGTTGAAACCTCAAAATGCATTCACATGCCGGAGACAGCTGCAATCTGCTCAACCAAACCGAGCAGTCACAAAGAACCGCGAACAGAATAAAGCTTTATCTTATCATACAGTCTCTAAAGCCAGTCCGTAACTAACTTTCGAAGGACATGGAGAGTGGGTCGGGTGGGTTGAGTGGGTTGAGTGGGTGGGCAAAGGACCCTTGGCGCCACGAACAAGACAAACGATGGGGAACTGAGTTGCGTTGACCAGCCACGAGCAAGTGCAGCAAGAAGTTAACATGACCATGAATTTGAGCTGCCAAAGTTCATTTTTAATTTAGCGCACACACACACACAGGCACTCTCATTCCTCCTCCAACAAGAAAGGAAACGCACTCCGAGGAGAACAATCTATTAAATCCGCAAAGGACGAACAGCAGGGGCATTGCAGAGGATTCGAAACCGGGTTTCATGTTCTTCTTGTTCCGAAAAGTTGTTGATATCTATTACCGAAGATTTGAAGCAGTTCGCCGGCATCTCAACTCAACTTAACTCCTGCAGGAGTCGTCGTCGTCGCAATCGGGGGAAGGATGTGTGTTGTGGCAGGGACTTAAAGACAGTTGCCAGTTGAATGGAACTGACTGCCAACTGGGCAACTGATGCCGGGATATAGAGAGGGATTGGGAGTGGGAATGGGAGTGGGAGTGGGAGTGCTCCTCGCACATCCACATGTCTGAACATGACAGTTGGTTATGCCGGGGCCACAAGGCACGTAGCGCATTGCAGTTAAGATTTGGATTTCCTTCGCCGGGCGTATCAAAGGAAACAACGCAAAAAATCTAGAAAATACTACAAAACACTTATCTGGGTGACAAATAGAAAAAGACCTGAATAAAAGGCGTTGGCGGCAAGGGGCAGGGGCAACGGGCAGGGGAACGGGGTCCAAACATTGAAAGAAAAATGTCTCTGAGTAGATTAAAAAAAATATGAGGAAGGGGCTGCAAACGAAGCGAAGAGCGACTGCAAAATGGAGCCATACAAAGCTAGGAAATGGCGCACGTTGTCGTTATAATAAAGGCACGGCGAGACATAAGCACACAGTGTGACAGGATATCGGGAAAGTGGTGTTAAATTAAGCATAATATATACGATTTTTATCAAACAAAACCTAGAATTTACTTTGTATGTAAAGTATAACTGTATCATGTACAGATTTGACTTTGAAATAATCCAAATTCCGAACCACTGTACCCGCGACATGGTCGTTGGCATAGTCATGGCTGCTCATATGTGTTTCGCTGTTGTCTTAGAATCGACCGCCTAGACAACCTGCAGGCACATTCTCCACCGTTTTTGCGTTAGTCTGCTGTTGCCATTTTGTTTTCAGTATTTATTTTTTCTATCAACGTATTTGCTGCTACCATTGCTGTTGTTGTTGTTGTTAATATTTGCAAGGCGACTTTATCTTAACAAGATCGAGCGAAGGACCCAAAGACCCGTGGGTGGATGAGCAGTATGTTGTGGGTGTGTTTTTGCCTGCCATTCCCTATGTCATTTAAAATCATTTTGCAAGTTTTGAGCTGACTTTGAGTTTGTCTTTCTGTTCCACTTACCCTAGACTTTCTATGCAATCTTCCCGTTGTGCGTTCAGTTCATGTGTACGGATTTGTTTCGTTATCGTTTGTGTGGAGTGTCAAGAAAGGACAACTACAGGACCAAATCGCTGGGAGAAGGAGGAGACCAGGGAAATGAAAGACAGAGCTAACAAAGCCAACGGCTCAGTTGGTGCTAAGTCCATCAAGTGAGCCGACAAATAACCACGTTTGATCCGATTCGATCCAAGTTAATTCGTTTATTGCTTCGAAGAACAGAGAGAAAGGACAGGTCCTCTAAAGCTAATACCAGAACAAAAACCCATTTAACTAAAATGAACTTGGTTTAGTAGCCATTACTCAGTTCATTTTATGTTTTGCCAACTTAGAGAGCATTTTTCATTTGCCCAATTTCAGTTAAATTAACTTTACCTTTTCCAAAAAATAACATTCTGACCCACTCATAAACCACTTTCAACTTTCGGACAGACACTCGACTCCACTAAATCATAAAAAGAGATGAAAATATGATGTGTCCCGAGACCATAAAACATTTGAGAAGGATCAACAAAAACCGAAACAAAGCACCCATTCCGAGGACACATTTTTCGGGGAGTTGAGGTCCATAAAACTCCTGGCGAACATTTCTGGTTAAGGCGTCCACATATGAGCCATAAAAAGAGTAACAACAAATACTGAATTTGTTATTAAATAACAACATAACGATATCTAATTTCAAGGGGGGTGTAGGCTGGCTGAATAATATTTAATAAATTTCGTTAGATAGGCTAAAGGTATGATACGACGGCAGTGGGACCTGGAAGCTGGTAGGTCATAACCATTGCATATTTTTCCCGTGGGGTGCCCATTGTGGCCCATTGTTGCCATGGCTGCCAGTTGGAGGCTCCGCCAGTCGGCCTATTAACCACATTTTAAGCATAATTGAATTTCGTGCATAAATTTCGGTTTATGGGTCGTCGCAGGGAGACCACGACCCGGCCAGATTATTACATTATTTACTGGGTGTGTGTGTATGTGTGTGTCTGTGTATATGCGTTTGTGTATATTTGTAGCCGTGACTGAAAGAGATGGCCAGATGCCGAGCGAAAAAGAGAGGGGCAACCAGGTGGCGCCACCAGACGACAGGGGCATCAATTTTATATGACGCTACGTTCGGTCCCCGTCTTCTCTTCTGTTGTTTCGTGCTTATTTTTTGTTGGTTTTTGAAATGGTTCACTGCCTCCCGCTGCTGCTGAAAGCCCCAAAAAATATTTATTAAATTTGCTGGACAGAAAGCAAGCAATTGGTTGCACTCTCGTCTCAAATATATTTTGTGGTTAGCATTGACATAGCGACTAGGACCCGGACTTGGAAGTTAATCCTAGACTAGATTGACCAATTGGTTGAAAGAATAATGAGAGCAGTAAATAAGCCACAAAGTGTATACAAATTTGTTTGATTTTCTGGAGTATTTACCATATTTATTTTTACCTTAGTTGTGGTCAGAAAGTATTGAAGTCAAGTGAATTTTTGCTTAAAATGTCATCTAACGCTTACATAACAATAAAGTAGTTTGATTAGCTTACACATTTATTAAGACCAAAATGGGTTCTATTTATTACTTTTAATTAGCTTACAAATTGCTTAAATAAATTCTATAAGTAATTCAGAATATGTCTGAGGCTTTCGTTACATTTTAGCAACTGAGTAAGCTAACCATAACTTAAAATCATTTTTAATGAAAACCTCTTTGGATTTTCAGAGAATTAACTTATTTATTGTTATTAAAGAAGGTCTTCTATTACCTAAAATTGCGTCTTTTTTTTCCACTCATGAAAGTGTGCAAAAATGACAAAAAGAACAATCTAAATCGAATATTTCTTATCCTAACCTTCCTTATAAATTCTACGAAGTGACAAAATTATCTATACATGTTAATATAACTTAATTGAATTATATATGTAGTATTGTAGTATCAATTCGTATCTGCAATTACAAACACTTTCACAACGACAAACAATGCAATCTTTGGCAATTTCCAATTGAGATCAACTGTGAAAAACTTCTGCGGCGGAAAAAGCAAATCTTTGGGCTCCCCAAGCTACCAAAAACCAAAGTTGCCAAACAAACAATTGCCGCTCCATTTAACCGACTTTCCCTGCTCACTCACACATATGCTGCAGTCATATGTTAAGCCTCAAAGCAGAAAGAAGCAAAAACTGCGAAATGGGGTAAAAAATTCCAAGTATGTACAGTGAAAGTTCATTGCCGCTTTTTAGGCGCCAACAGAAGCTTACTGTGAAAATTCCGCAGAACAACAGCAGAAAAAAATGTGTGGCAGCCAAGAACAGAGGCAACACATCAACTTTTTATTAGCTGCAAAATAAACACAAAAAAAGGGGGCGGCTTGGTTTGGGGGCATGGTCTGAGCAGAGCAGAGAAGAGCAGAGCAGAGCAGAGAGCAAGACGCAAACAAGAAAACAAACAGCCGACAACACAAAACGCAAACAACAGTGGCGGCAAGAGTTGAGTAACAAATATTTACAACGCGGTACAGACTGGCCCAAATCCCTCCCTTCTACCACCCACTACCCTACCATCACCCATTCAAGCCCGGCTATTTGCCTTTTTTTGTGTTGGTTAAGACACTGCCAAGGACCCACAGTCAATGTCGAGGTCCTCGCCGCGGTCCTTCGCGACTTAATAAATCTTATTAAAGTGCGCACAGCCTCTAAAATATGCTACGTTTTATTTATATATATATTTCTTCTTTTTTTTTAGCCGCCACCCTGTGGAATTTCCACCCACCATTTAAAAGGCCTACTAAAAAGCGACGCGGGGGTCTGTCTACCTTGTTTTTGCTTTACATAAATTTATTTCTCACTCTGCCATGGCGGACTTCTTGGCATCGAATTGCAGGAGGGTCGGGTCGGAGGACGGAGGACCGGCTTTAATGTACATCAATTTGGGTTGATTGTTGGACCTATAACGGCGGGTTGGGGGGCAGATTACAATTGGGTTTTGGGTCTGGGCTGGGGTGGTAAAAGTTTATCCAAAAAATGTTATTACACATTATGACCACTAGTAAGGAAGCCGGTTTCTTGATTTATGCCCAGTCATGGCTACTTTCGGGCTATTTAAGTAACATAAATAAGTGGAATAAACTAGAAAAATACAGCAATTTGGTTACTGAGGAAGATGAAGGGTAGAATGTTAAGCTTAGTCTAATAACCTTTTAATATTTTTATTTTTAATCAAAAGGTTATCGCTGTTATATAGGGTTTTTGTACTTAAATTCGATTAAGCATTCTATTCTATTTATTAAAAAAATACCTAAAAAATATTCCGATCTTCTAAAGTATTAAGATGGCCATTTCCTTAACAAACATCTTCAAATATCCCTGCAAAAGGACATTATTCTTGTCAACATTGGGTTCCCTTTTGGGTGGCACCTTGGGCATTGAGATTGGGTTTGGGTTTGGGCTTGGGGATATTGCCAGCAGACGGTGCCCATAAATTTGCGGTCTTAATTCAGTTTAGTGGCCTGCCCTCGATTTTGTTTCGCCGTTTTTTTCCCCCGACTCTCTCTTAATCGCGCTAAATTAGATATAAGCCGATGGCCATGGCAAAACGATGCAAAAACAACTGGCGATGGCCTTTTTGCTCTTTCACTTCGGCACCTAAAACAAATTATCGAATTAGTTCGTTTCGTGTGTGTGAGTGTGGCCAATTTTTATTAGCTGTTTAGCGCTCTATTTGGTTAGGAGAATTGATTTTCCCATTGGTTATGTTCGAAGAAAATGGCCCTGAAAAACAAGATAATTGCCGGACAGTAAATTAAGTTTGGCCTTTGTCCAAGACAGACAGCTGTGAGAGGAGTGTACGTAATTGACAAAGCATTTCCCCCTATTAAAAACGGAATTCCCAAGGCTCCGCTTATCTTATCGTCGATTTAACTGATATAATCGTTCAAGTGTTTTTGGTCGGTCAAATAGGAATTCCCCAGAGATTTGGTTATATTTTTAGTAAGGGGTCTGTGATTAATTCTGATTAAAGGCTGATTTGAATTTCATTTAAATTTAAAGGTGACCGAGGTTGCACCCAAGAGAATCTTTTTATTAAATTTACTTTGAATATTTATTACTTTGAATAAATAGAAATACTTTTGGCAACTTCCCGTCGAGCAGTCGACGTCATCAGCGTGACTTGTATAACTTTTTGGCATATCATAATAATTGTGATAAGCATTGGCCGAGTGCAATCAATCATGGGGATATATATGGCGTCCAGTTCAGTTCAGTCCAGATTGATTGCCCATTGGTTTGGGGCTGGAACTTTCATTCGGATTGGTATTGAGGATTGGAAATGGAATCGCTGTTGACGGATATCATCTCTCAGAATCGAACTGTTGACTCAGTGCAGGCCACACACGAATGCGTGTTATTCCGAGGGAATAAGTTTTCACACGTCCCCCGTATCCTTTTTCCTGCTGGCGTTCCTCATTCTTCTTTTTCTTCTTTCATTCTTTCTGTATTAAAGGGGTCCTTCCGCCGCCTTGTCGCCGACTGAATAAACACTATGGCCGCAGTGCTGGCTGACCAGTGAGCAGATTCCTTTTGTCACGACTCAGGCATCCACGGGCCGCTGAATATTTCTCATGGACCAGCTCGAAGAGCTCCTGCTGGAAGTAGCCATGCTCCAAGAAGTGCGCATCCTTGTGGCCACGGCGCCGTATTTGCTTATCCCTCAGCCGGAATTCGCGCCACAGCATCTGGATCTGTAGCCATTTTTTGGCAATGAAGTCCAGCGTTTTTCGCTCGGATGGCGTTTTCTTGTAGTTGGAAATCGCATGGAAAATGAAATTCGCACTGATTTGTTGCTGCAACGCCAATTGGTCCAGTATCAGGACATTTCCCTCCTCCTTGTGACCCCTGTGACCCGCCGGAATCGGATGACTGCCGCTTAACTTTAGTGCAACAATGTTCGGCATTATTATTATTATTTTTTACGCTGTTTAATTTATCGCTGGGCACTGTCACTTATTATAATTTATACTACGCCAGATTCCTGCTTGTTCAATGATTTTTTAATTAATACTATTAGTTCCCCTGCACTGAACAAAGGCCCATCGGTTTGACAGAGCTTCTGCGACTAAATGTTTGGCACTGGACTGGCGTGCTTTTATTGCGATTTCAAATTGACTTTGATAAACCCATGGACATAGAAATAAAATACTGAAAAGTTTGGTTTTATTAATAGGTTATTTGGTTTCTGATAACTCACGATGAGGTAACGCACGTGAGTTATGACGGCTCTTCAGTAATCTACAGGGAAAGGGAAAGTACATGGGAAGAGCAAGTTGTTAATTCAAAATATTTATAAGATTTATGAATAACATTTTTTGTATTCTTTAAGAATTTTCCTTGTTAGTTGACCCAAACTACCCAAATTATATTTCAAGGTACATAAGCCTATTGTGGAAACTGAAAAGTCAGTCCAAATACCCTACACTAGACGAATATATTTTGTGGTTGTGTCACGTTGAGTGGGCGGGGGCGGGGAGATAAAGCCAAAATGCCAGTTATCAAATCACGCTCACGGATCCAACGGCTGATTCATGGGGGCCAGTCGAATGTGCGCAATGCGCTATCAGGGAATTATTGGCCGATAAGCTTGATAAGCCCCAGTCGGCACACACACACACCCAAACACTACCTCCCACTACCTACTACTACAGTTACAACTTCCCAAAAGTGGCTAGAACAGGGTAAGGGCCTGTCCTGACACATTAGCCTACTCAACAAAATCGTTAGAGCAAAGTCAATGAACACAATCGTTAAGCGTTACTCTAGGCAACAAAATTTTATCGCCCCCAAGTGGGTGGGGATTTTGGTTAGGGGGTTGGAGAGCTATTTACTACAAGTTCGATTGGTGGGTTGGGGGCATAAAGCGTGACAATGTTTGTCGTCAAGTGTCGCAGACTCATCGCTGATAATTGTTACGATTATCCACGCCCATGCCATCATCATCATCATCATCATGGACGACATCATTATCACGAAACGCCTATTTCCACTTGGAATTCAGTGAGAGTTGGGTTAGGGGGGTTAATACCATTTGAACTATGTTCTCTTACACTCATGATTTAATTATGTTTCCAGAGAAATGCTGATACTGCAGAGGTTTCAACTTACTTTCAGAGTGAAAATAACTGGGAAGCAGGCTTTTTACTTTATTGTTTTTCAAATCATTTTATTTAACGTGAACATTTCCGTAGACATTTAAGCAGATTTTCATTTTAATCCCATAACCAACCATTCACAACGTTTGGCAGCATTGTAATTCCTATTTACCATTATTAATGGGAATTATCAATGCTGTTTGATAATATGTTACTGATTACCATGGCCTGGGATTTGATTTTAATTCCGTTTTAAACGATTCAAATCAAATGAGCTGTCAATTATGACCTCTTGCCATTGGCCTTTTCTATGCTCGTTAGTTGCTCATATTTATTTGTATTCTGACTCTATTATGCTGGCATTAAACGGTATCAAATTTATAAAATCAAATGAGCTTTCAATTACGATTATTACTGAAAAAGTTTCGTCTTTCTCTGTTTTTAATTTGAATAATATTTAATATTCTACATATATCATAGCTTTATGGGTTTTCTTAAATTAATTTTAAAACTTAATTTGATATGCGAGTGTGTGCATTGAATTTTAATAACCAAATATGAATGTATATGTATGTGTGAGTCAATTAACTTTCTGGTTGGAAATCGAAAAATGATGACTAAATTTGAATTATAATTTTTATGACTTTAGTCGAAATTGAATTGTTAGTACTTTTAAATTGGTTTATTAAAACGTTTTAAGAAAGTAATTAACACAGCGAAAGCTTTCCATTAAAACGAAATTAAATACAATTTTTTATACAATTATATGCTGAATGTTAGGTCAAAAGAAAGGATCAAAAAATGAAAATTAAAAATGAATTTTCCTAAAGGCTATATATTAATCAGGACTTTAATAGATGTGAAAAAACTTATTGCAATGTGAGTTAACAATTTTCAAATTATAATTAACATAAACTATTATTTTCTAATTTAAATCCCTTCAGGAGGATGCTAAAAGCAATGATACCTATAAATTATATTTTAATTTAGCAAATATTTACAACAAGCACAAGGCTTTCTTCAGCCTTTTTGTTCATTGAAATTGATATCTTTTTTTTATTAAATTTTGAATAGGAAAGAAAGAATGACTAAAGAATGACTTTTGAGTCAACGGCAATTTAACACATCCCACCATCCTATATTGCCTATACCATCGGCCATTCCACATTAGACACGCTTCATTCCTCTGCACATTTCATTGGTCAATTGACTGTGAAAACCTGTAAAAACAAAAACATACACCGTGGGAGGGATAGCAGAAGGACCGAGGTCCTGGCCAACAGGCCATGGAAAATTACTAATGCATTTCTAAAGAGTTTTTCATCAACTAAAGTCCCCAGCAGCAGCAGCTGCTAACTGGATGTTACCTGTAACCTGACTCTCTCGCTGCCATTCTTTAAGGCAAATATCATTAGCATTATGATGCCACTTCACCACTCCAATGCTCTACAACTCCACACCCTTGGCCACGTCACACCCACTGCCATCCAGCTGGGTCCCCCTATTCCATGCGGAATCCTCGTTCCTGTGGCCCATCATCAGCCACGTTCCATATGCACATTTACACAAACCGCTCGGAGGGGCCACTCCTTCACACAACCTGCGGACATGTCAAACATGTGGCTATAAACCGACATTTGTATATCCTTTAAAGTAGGTTTTAAAAGAACTGTTTCTTTTAAGATAGATAAAGATAAAAATATAGAAAGTTATGTAAATTAATTTGAAAATTTACTAATTTTACTTACAAATTTGTTATGTGTGAAAGTTTTAAAGAATACGTTCTCGTTTTTAGATTTTAGAACAAGGAAATCATTGCCAGCTTTTTATCCTTTAACTAAACTAAAGCGAATCCTCCAAATCTCTTAAGTGTGTTAATTAAAGTCTTGAAAATTTATCCAAAGAATGGAAATGTTATTCAAAAGTTTCTGAATTACCGTGGATAATATAAGCTTTAAAGTTCCTGACAAGTTTACCCTCAGCTTCTTCAGTAGCGAAGATAAGTACCAGGAATAACAACAAAATGAACAACATCGCGAATGGGGAAAACAACGTACGATGAGTGAGAAAAATCATGTGCGCAAACACAGAGCAGATTGCAAAATCTATTGCCGGCTTGTAGGCGCAAATGTTCACTATGTGCAGCAGTGGACAGTGGGTCTAAAGTCAACTATTTTTCAACAACAACTTTTTGTTTTATTTAGTTATACAGCTACTAAGAATAATTTGTTTGGTTAAGTTGCAGAAAATCAAAACTCAAGCCCAATAAAGTAAAGTTAAACTAAAATGGGGAATGAATGACTATTGGAACTTATACTGTTTACAAACCTCCATTATTTTCCAACTAAATTTATATTTGATTTCAAAATGATGATCCACTGTGCCCTGCACACTCCTGTGTGTGAGTGGGTGGTGTGTGCTTGTGTCAGTTGGTTGCCTGTGTAAGTGTTGCAATCGAGTTTGCCTAGTGCAACTTTTTGCTATTCCATATTACTTGAAAAGCAGGCGATGCGAGCGATAAATATATACAACATATTTCCATTTGCAGGATTGCATAAGCTAAAGCCACCTGGCCATATATTTCAGGATGGTAGTTGGCGGTGGCTGTGGTGGTGTTAGTGGTTGTGCTGGCTCAACCTCTGGCATACGCATGGAGAGCTCAAGCCAGGCCTTCGTATTATTATTTTATTCAATTTTTGTCAATTTGTTGCTTGGATACTGGCTAAGATCCTGGTAGACAGCTTGAGTGGGAGTAAACCATTCAATCAGCAAGATTTTTCACCTTTTCATCTCTCCCTTGTTGGCTGGGTAAAATGCACTGCATACTTTTAGGCACAACAGAGTTTACTTTATCCCGGGCCAAAAAGTCAGGAAATCTGTTATGAAATTCTCAGTTCACTGCAATTTTTCAGCCTATCTCAATCTGTGTAAAGTGGCCTGGTTGTTTGACAAGTTGTTGGAGTTGTTAGTCCTGTTTTTGGTGCTGTTTTATTGTTGCTACCCGATTGTGCTTCTGGTTTAAGCCATTGATTGCATTGAGCTCGGTCCTCGTTGATTTTTGACTTTTTCTCTCTAACCAACACAGCACTGGCAGCTCCATCAGCAGCAGCAGCAAACTGAAGTTTTTAAGTCTTTTTGAAAATGTTTTAACTCCACTCCAGTTCGGTGTCCTCTTTGTATGTGTGTGTGTGTCTTTATGTGTTTGTGTATAGATGAGGACATAATCTGACTGATGTTGACTGAATGGATAGGCATTTTTGTAGGCCTCCTGCATTATCCGAACGCACAGGACAGGACAAGCGTTCTTTGTCAGATCTAAAACGAAAGTTGAAAGCTTACTACAAATATCGTGCACAGTCAACTTGGCCTCAATATTGCTGAGCCGCATATATCCGTTATTAAGTACTTGTAATTGCCATTTGGGCAGACGGATTTCGTACTTGATGAAATGTCAAATATCAAAACTAACAGAGTCTCAACGGGAATAGATATTTAATGATACTAGGGGATATTTGCCCAAGGATTTTGTACAAATTATTGCCTGTTAGTATGGGATTCATAAAAGATGAGCAAGGATTGTGCTAGATATTCGTGAAGTGATTCAGCTTAAAGCTATGTTTATTAAGTTTTCCTTAAAAATAAAACTTTTGTTTCCAATAACTCCCAAATTTATTTAGTCCAAGTTAAAGTGCTGCACTAACCGTAGACACCTGAACAACACCTGCAAAACATTATTACCCCCCATCGGCGGTGCTGAACTATTTTATTTATTTCCCCCCTCAGATGCTTTGTTTCGAAAAGGGCGTTATTTTAATCAACGCTTTTGCCAAAACTCGCATAGTAGACACACCTGCTCCTGCTGCGACCTTTGCCCTTGCCGTTGCAATTGCCGCCTGCCCGAGAGCATAAAACCCAGTGGTGGAGGAGGACAGACTCATTTGACGGGGGGAAG